CCACGGCTTGTCAACAATTGCAGCGCCACAGGGTTGTGACGGTGTTCAGGTTGTGGCGTTTTCCATGGACCCCATATGTCGTTCGACATAACTCGTAGTGACCGACAGATAGGGAATGTCTCAGTTACGTACATAACCCTCATTCCCTGATAGAGGGAACGGAGACGTTATGTCCCCATGCCACAACCTTGAACCATTCGCTGTTGCCGGGACACGTTCTCGGCTCCTCAGCATAAAATCTAATGAGTGAATGCGCGCTGTCCCCTTATATACCCGTAAGCACGGGGAGTGGCTCAGCATGCAAAATCCACTAGCCAATTTTCATTGGCGTTTTCTCATAAACTCAGAGATGATTGGCCTCCCAAGTGAGACCCCATATGTCATTCGACATAACGTCTCTGTTCCCTCCATCAGGGAACGAGGGTTATGTACGTAACCGAGAAGTTTTCTTTTTAATTTTAGTTAAAGTTTGAGCTATTTTGTTAGGTTTATTTTTGGTTTATATTTCCATTTAATTTTAGTTTTATTATTTTTATTTTAGTTTTGGATATTCTAAACTTATTTTATTTTAGTTAGTTGCCAAGGCAACATTTCAAAAATTAAAAAAAACAATTTTTTAATCTAACATTTTATTTCAGCTTTATGTAAATTAACAATTACAATTTTAATCGTGTTAGTTAATAACAGCACTGATTCATCTTTATTCTCAATCTATTTAAAGTGTTTTGTTCTGAGATGGTTTTATTGTCATATCTAGATGCAGATAATCAATAAGGGTGTGTGTGTGTGTGGGGGTGGGTGGGTGTGTGTTCCTCAGACGCAGTTTCGGGAATGTTTCTCTGGCTCATCACCTGACGGTCATGGAGGAGCTGGTCAGGCGTGATAAGAACCATCCGTCTGTGGTCATGTGGTCTGTGGCCAATGAGCCGGCCTCAGAAATGCCGCCCGCTGGATTCTACTTCAAGTGAGTCAAACTGAATATGAACTACTCCTTTAATGGTTTCAGTGGTGCAGATGACGCCATGTTCACACCAGGGGTGTTTCCTCCGAGGAGGCAAGGGAGGCAGTGTCTCCTCTCCTCAAAAATGGATGAGAAAATAATCGATATTGCAAAAATAAAACAACGCAAATATGACTAAATATAACATTAAAAGTATAAAAGTCACTCGTTTTTATAAAGTAACACTGTTCAACACTGACACCCGCAGGTAAAGTTACAGCGGAGGCTTGCCTCCCTTCGGTCCATAGACTTTCTACAGAGACCCTAAAGCGTGCCGTGACTTTTCTGGAGGCTCATTGAGATGAATGGGGGAAAGTCACGTGAGAGGAGGCAATGCCTCCATCGCGCTATAATTGGATATGATCGGCTATAATTGGATGTGATTGGTTCGTGTGATAAATCCCGCCTCTTGTTTTCGTGCCAGCTCTTGGCATGAATGAAGAAAATGATGGCGTTATTGACTAATTATAAAGTAAGTAAACAACTCTCCTGCTTGGATATCACTGCTTTGTGTCACATCAAAATGAAACATGAAATGACTTGAAAACGTGATGACCGTGTCAGTTTTTAGTGAGCATTCAACCTGATGAAATGAAAGATGTATCTTCGTGCCTGTGACAAACTTTACAGGGTTTTTATGACGATGACCCGAAAATAAGTTGACTATTAAAAAGAACAGCTGAACATCAGTTCACAAATAAAAAAACGAGTGTCTATTTACAAGTGCAAATAGCCCGCCTTGTTGGCAGAGGCTTTTTACACTAACTCTGCCCATCAACGTGTGATTACAAAGCATTACAAAAGACTGTCGTCTAATAACAGCTCCAGTGGCGCAGATGGTAAAGTACGTGTTGAAGTCGATTTTGACACGATCGACCGGGGTTCGAATCGCGTTTTGCCGAACTTTTTTTTCTACTTTTTCAAATCAGATATCACGTCGTTGTTATTGTTATTATTGCATACTGTTTTATAATGTACTACAACACTGAGGTGCAGATAATTGCCACTATCTGCAATAAGTA